GGCCATGGGTCTATCTCATGTCATCCAGAGCCCCATATTCTCATGATCTGGTGTTCCTGTTGGAGCAGTGGCTATGTGAACTGCAACTGGGGGAGTTATTGGTGTCCCCCTTGTCATGGTCAGATCACACCCTGATTACCATGGGATTCTCTGGTGCCACTATCCACTGCAAGGAGGCTGGACCCATTAGATTGGTCCACCCCTGGTGACTGATGGACCCAGAGGAGTTCTAGATGGAGCTGGGGACTGCTCCTGCTGGTCTGCTGCACAGCCCATATGAAGCCTTGATTGTTGCCTGGAATAAAAGGTCAGCTGAGGCTTTGGATCAGATCACACCTATGTGACCTTTCCCCACCTGAGGACTGTTACTCCCCATGGTTTACGGAGGAGCTGAGGGAGATGAAATGAGAGAAGAGATGTCTAGAGTGTCACTGGGGCTCATCTAAGGATGAACTGAACTGAACACAGGTTAGAGCCACTATTAAGGCCTACCAAGTGGCAGTAAGGGTGGCGAAGCAACAGCACTCCTCCACCATTATTGGATCTGCAGATTGCCACCCTGCAGGCCTGTTTTGGGTGATGCAGGTCCTCTTGAGTACAGGGGGCCTGGACAACCTTTTGCAGGGTTGTGCGGAGGATTCTGCTCAGCATCTGTCAGATAAAATCGCTCCGATTCATTCGCAGTTGGACACTGGCTTTGCTGCAGGTCTGTGGGAGATATCTAGGGTGGAATCTTGCCCAGTTATCTGGGAACAGTTTGAACCTGTTGGGCCTGATGAAGTGGACAGGGTCCTTAGGACTGTGAGCTCAGATCTCTAGATCTATGTCCCTCCTGGCTTGTGAAAGCAGCCCAGGGGGTGCTGTATGGGTGGGTTCTGGTGATGGTGAATTCTTCTTTGAGGGGATTGATCCTGCACCTCTGAAGGAGACTTTGGTTCATCCACTCCTCAAGAAGGCATTGCTGGACCCCACGATACTGGACAACTTTCGTCCAGGATCCAATCTCCCCTTTTTGGGGAAGGTGATTGAGAAGGTGGTTGCACAGCAGCTTCAGAGGACCTTGGATAAAGTGGATTATC